TTTGCCCTTGTTTCTTTATGCCCGGAAGTCCTCATCTTTTTGTTGTGCTTGCGGTTCGCACTCTCCGTGCAGCTCTAGCTGCAACAACGTGAGCAAGCGCGTGGAACCATCTTTTCTACCCACCTTTTGGGGCAACAAGGCACCTAAAAAACAATCGTTTTTTGGCGCGCTCCGAGATGCGTTGTCTGAGAGCTATGCGTGCGGGGCCTGGCCAGGCTCTAAGGTTCCACTGCGTTTCTGCTAGTTGCAAGGCGCCTGCAAAATTGCGGTTTGAGAGTTGTGTCTTGGCTGCGTGCTTGCTGCAGCTGGCTCAGTCGCCTCTGCGCGTTTGTGCTTCCAGCGGTGCCCGTGTTAGTCATGCCAGTGTCTGTGGTGCGCGGTCGCGATGAGTTCCGCAAGCTTAGCGAAGAGTCCTCGCTACTTCTTGAGGCCCGAACATGGTCAAATGTTCCTGTTCGATTCTTTGCTTTGCGGGCGCAGCATGTTGCTCTTGCTTGTCTGGCAGGCGTGGGCTAAGGATGAGGCTCTCCGCGCCCATGCTGCTAGTTCAAAGGCGTTCCTAAGCTGGCCGCAGGGCAAGGCCAGAAAGACAAGCGCCTTGACCCTTCGCCTGAACAAAGTTCCTTGCCTTCAATCAGCATGTTGTATTTTCGTGCGTGCCTGTGCTCCGCAATAGTTTGCACCTAACTGTCCCAGGGCGCCCTTCTTTGTTTATTGAGGCTTCTCTCTTGCCAGGGCATCCTCCTTCCACTGATTCCCTCAGCAGTTCGCTCGGAAAAGTTGCTGACAGTGCCTGTCTTGGAAGAAATCCTACGCATTTTGCGGAAGGAATGGGATGTGCCTCTGGCCTTTCAGTACTTTTTGCTTCAGGCGTTGTCTTTTAGTTCTTTGGTGCGCTGCGGCATCATTCAACATTGTGTCCTGCCGGAGGTGAATGTCAGCAATGACCAGATTAACAGGGACTCCCACGGCCTAAAAGCGCTCACACACCACCGCAAGAGTTGCTTGGCAAGTATTTGCTGCCTGTTTTTTCGGGGGCGGGGGTCTAACCCAGTCGGCAGGGTTCTCAAACAGGTTTATTATGAAGGTGTTCCATGGCAACCAAAAGAAGCCGGCAAGTCCCAAAAGATTGTTCCCTGTAAAACAGTTTTAAGATTTGAGCATTGGGGGAGTGGCCGCGAAAAATGGCTGCAGGGTTGGCTGAGCGCAGCGAGAACCAGCGCGACCCGGAGCTGCAGGACCTCACCGTACCTTGGCGGGCAAGAGTGGCGCTGCAGAAAATACTGATTTCGAAGCCCAATGTCGCTGTCAGGTATCCTAGTGCGGCGTGCGTGTGTTGTGTGTGTGTTGGTGTTGTGCGTTGGTGTTGTGTGTTGTGTGTTGCGTGTTGCATGTTGCGCGTCGCGTGTGTGCGTGTGTGCGTGTGTGCGTGTGTGCGTGCGTGAGGGGTTTGCCTGTGAGTGCACACGCACATGCAACAATTGCATGAGTGCCTGCGTCGAACGAGGATGCTTTGCGGGCGGCGCTAGCGGAGGAGATGCAGGGCCCACGCTTCAAGAAGAGAGCCAGCCTGGGCAAAACCAAGAAAGGCAGCAGTTCGGCCTCCCTTGGCTCTGCCACCACGAGCCTGCCGCGCCAGCGGAGGAGGTCACTTCTGTGTGCAGCAGCCCGCCTGCCTCGCAAGAGGATTTGGAGGACTCGCCTGAGGAGGCTGGCCATCGGGAGGCGCGCGCGGATACAGGACTAACAGGCATGGACGGGCCGCTGCCCATGGATGCGGGGCTCAAAGCCCTGTCAGACGAGAGCAAGGGCGTGATCATGGACGCAAGGCTCAAAGGCATCTCGGAGAGCGCGCCGCCCAAGGACGTGTTTGAAGCCGAGCTGAGCGACTACGACGAGTTGGAGGACGTGGCGGAGGACGAGCTCATGGAGCAGCGCGGGCCTTTGCAGGACGGCGAGAATCAGCCTTTTCAGGAGCACTACGCCCAGAGCGCTTCGCAGCTGGCTGGGCACATGGCCAGCTGGGCTGCATGTGCAAGTTCGCCGCTGCCAGTTGAGGAGCAAGTCCGTGTGATGGACTGGCTGATGGCGCCACGCTCGCCCCACCTGGAGCCGGTGCTAGACAAGGATGTCCCTCTGCTTGTGATTCCGGACAGCCCGACTGACAGCCCGCAAGAGCAGCTACAGGAAGCTTGCCAGAAGATCCAGTTCGCAGTGGGGTACGACGAAGGCAAGTGGGACAGGACATGTGTTTTTGCCCAGGTGGGCGCTTTCGCGCGTGTGCTTTTGGATGTGTCTGTGTGTGTCGCGCACGCGTGTGTGTGTGTGTGTGTGTGTGTTCATACGCATGTATGTGTGCATGTGTGCGTGTGTTGTTTGTTTGTTTGTTGGTTTGGTTGGTTGGTTTCTTTGTTTGTTTGTTGGTTGGTTGGTTGGTTTGTTTGTTTGGCTGCGTGTCTGTTTGCTTGCTTGCTTGTTTGCTTGGCTGACTGACTGACTGACTGACTACCTGACTGACTGTCTGACTGACGACTGAAGGATTGACTGGCTGCTTGATTGGCGGATTGAGTGATTGATTGATTGGTTGGTCGGTTGACGTTGATGGATGGATGGATTGGTTGATGAACTATTTGTTGGTTTGTTTGCTTGCTTGTTTGGTTGCGTTTGTTGCTTTGCTTGTTTTGTTGTCAGAAGTGGGTGGTCTGCAAATAAGCACACATGGCCTCACCTTAGCTGACTTCCAGGGATCCATCGTTGAATACGCAGGACTGTCATGGATCATCCAGACAATGCGGAGACCTTGCCCGTGGCAGCGGACACTCTGGCGGATGAGCTGGCTTCCCCAACTATCCCGTCTTCTGCGCCTGAGAGCACGTTGCTTGCGATCTGCGACGACAAGGTCTCTGAGGAGCAGCTTGGCACTTTCAACATGTTTCCACATCAACCAGCTGTGAGATTCCCGTTGTTGGTTTCCATTTTTTGCTTTTAATCTTTACAGAGTTTTGCAGGAATCCTAAGTTTCCACCTTTTTGAGCGTCTCTGCTTAGAAGCCCCAAACTGAAATCAATCATTGGCAGTTCACAGCTAAACATTGGCAGTTCCCAGCGCAACAGCTGTGAACTGCCAGTGGTCAAATTTCCATTTTTCCTAAACCCGAAACTGAAATCAAACATTGGCATTTCCAAGGCGCAACAGCTGCGAACTGCCGGTGGTTGATCTCCATTTTGCCACGCTTGCATTTGTCCAGGGCCCCTGCACGAACTCCAAAGCTGAACTCAAACATTGGCAGTTCCCAAACACAATGGCTGTGAACTGCCAGTGGTTGATTTCCATTTTCCGAGGGGCCCCTCCGTCAACCCCCAAACATCAAACATTGGCAGCTCTCAACGCAACAGCTGCGAACTGCCAGTGGTTGATTTCGACATTTCCAGGTCCCGTGCATGAACCCAAAGCTGAAATCAAACACTTGCCGTTCCCACGCAACAGTTGCGAACTGCCAGTGGTTGATTTCCATCTTTCCAGGGCAAGCGTGCAAACCCGAATCTGAAATCAAACGCTGGCAGTTCCAAAGCGCAACAGCTGCGAACAGGCAGTGGTTGATTTCCAGATTTTTTTGCGACGCCCCCCAAAGTGAAATCAAACATTGGCAGTTCCCAACGCAACAGCTGGGAACTGCCAGTGGTTGATTTCGACATTTCCAGGTCCCTTGCATGAACCCAAAAGCTGAAATCAAACACCTGCAGTTCCCAACGCAACAGCTGGGAACTGCCAGTGGTTGATTTTGACAAGCTGAAATCAAACACTTGGCAACAGTTGCGAACTGCCAGTGGTTGATTTCCATCTTTCCAGGGCAAGCGTGTAAACCCGAATCTGAAATCAAACGCTGGCAGTTCCAAAGCGCAACAGCTGCGAACTGGCAGTGGTTGATTTCCAGGTTTTCTTTTGCGGCGCCCCCCCCCAAAGTGAAATCAAACATTGGCAGTTCCCAACGCAACAGCTGGGAACTGCCAGTGGTTGATTTCGGCATTTCCAGGTCCCTTGCATGAACCCAAAAAGCTGAAATCAAACACCTGCAGTTCCCACGCAACAGTTGCGAACTGCCAGTGGTTGATTTCCATCTTTCCAGGGCAAGCGAATCTGAAATCAAACATTGGCAGTTCCCAAACACAATGGCGGTGAACTGCCACTGGTTGATTTCCAGGATTTTTTTGCGGGGCCCCCCTGAAAACCCCAAAATGAAATCAAACATTGGCAGTTCCCAACGCAACAGCTGGGAACTGCCAGTGGTTGATTTCGACATTTCCAGGTCCCTTGCGTGAACCCAAAAGCTGAAATCAAACACCTGCAGTTCCCACGCAACAGTTGCGAACTGCCAGTGGTTGATTTCCATCTTTCCAGGGCAAGCGAATCTGAAATCAAACATTGGCAGTTCCCAAACACACTGACGGTGAACTGCCACTGGTTGGTTCCCATGTTTTCAGACCGCGCAAAACCAAAACTGACTTGATGTTTTTGTTTGATGGCCAGTGTTTCGGGTTAATTTGATGACTGAACGGGTGATGATCAATGAGCCTCTCAACGCCTGCGAGGTTTCCTTTGGATGCCACGGATGGCGCGGCAAAGGACGGCGCGGCAAAGGATGGCGCGGCAAAGGATGACTTCATCCTCACCAACAGCATTCAGCGCGCGCAGAAGGACAAAAAAAAACAAGCTCAGAAGGAGGGGCGCAAAGCGAAAGCGCTGGACAAGGAAGCCAAGACAGCAGGCCAAAAAAAGTCTGCCAAAGCCAAAGCCAAACCACAGCTGACCACACCCAACTGCAAAGGGCAGCCTGCAGCCGGCGCCCCGCCCAAGACTTCAGACCCGGACTTGGCCCCCAGCAACGCAGCAGCCAGCAAGGGCGCAAAGCGCAAGAGCGAGCAGCTTGTGCCCAAAGACCAGCAGGACAAGCTGAGGGAGTAACTTGCCGGCGACAGCGTGAGTTCATGACATTGAAAACTAGTTCTATAGTTCTGCCTACTCAAAATATTCTCTCAACACGTTAGAGCTGCTGCAGCCTAGGATGGTCAAGGGCAGCAAGACTTACACCCTCACACTGTACTGGACGCGTAAGCAGGTTGGGGTGCGGGAGCGCAAGGGCGCCAACGGCAAGCAGGGCTCGCAGGTTTGGGCAACCGCAGCTGGCATGGTGCACTGCATGACCGTGGGCATCATGTTGGGGAACGCGGTGGCAACTTGTGCTTGGTCAGTGTGCTGCGAAGTACTGCACTGTCATGCTTGCTTGTTGTGTGTCGCTGTTTCAAATTTGGAATGTAGCTTTCGCAGTTTGTTGTGTGGGTTGTCCAAGACAGTAGCTCTATACACTGCGGCGCGGGCCCAGGCAAATTTCCGTGAGGAAAAGCAGGGTAACAAGGCTGAGCTGCCTGCCTTCGTTACAAGGTACCTCTTGAATCTCAACTCAACGTTGGGCCAGGATGCTTTTAGGCTGCCTTGAGCAGCTGGTCTCACTTTAGTGATAGGAGCTGCTTGGTGCAGGGGGTGACTGGGGTTGTAGGGATGAGTGACGCAGTGCCCACTTGTTATACTTGGTCCAGAAGAAAAACACTTGACTTGGTGCTTTGGGGGCTGCGTTGCGACCTTACTATGTTCAAGGGGGGTAGTGGTGCTTCTTAACTATTGCTTGAAGCTCCCAACATGCTTTGGGAAGAAAAGGTGCAGTCTCGCTGCAGCCTCGTGCGTTTGAGTGCAGCAGCGCTGCTGCTCTTGCGTGTGTCTTGTGTCTCGCGCGAGGTTGCGAGAATGCCCCGGGGGAACAAACGACGCCTGCTGGACCCTGAAGATGAAAAAGAAGGCGCGGGTTTCTCTTCATAGGATTGCCCATGCGCTCACACGCTTCCTATCCTTTTCCTGTCAAGACCTCTGCAGCGCGCGTTTTCAGTAGTAGCAAGGCAGGCGACTCTGCGTGGTAGCAACTGTTGTGAAGGAAATGCGCAGCATGTGCAATAGCAGCCTTTATGCTCACTGTTCCCTGTGTAACGCTTCCATGCTCATTTTGGTAAACACGTGTTGCCTACACAACCAATCGGTGCACGCTCAATGGATGGACCTCGCGTTGCGGATCGCTGGGCCCTTCGGGCTGCAACTGCGCGTATGCGTGCGGCTGGAGTTCCCTTTGCTTCTTCGCGACGCATTTAACAAGAGGAACCCGACGCACCTCCTTGAAGGGCTTGCTCGCGCCTCGTGGAGCTTTCTGAAAACTAAGGCTCTTGTGCTCTGCGTGGTGTTTCTCATCTGCGACGACCAGCTGGACAAGCGATGGGCCTTTTGGCCTTGGTTGTGCGCAGCATGAGTTCATGCTGTTATTGCTCCTTGCTGCCGGGTTCTGCCAGGCATTCCGATTTGTGGAGTACTTCTGCGGGCAGGGCAATGTGACATTCGCAATGAAGATGTCCGGGTTTGCGTCTTCTCATTTTGACAAAGAGCTGGGTGGCCGCTACAACAATATTTGTGAGCCCTCCGGCATGGCGTGGCCTGGCAGTACGTCCGTATGGGTGTTTGTGAGTAGTTGCTAGCTTTTCTCGATGTCAGTTTGTTTGGCTCAGGTTATCCATCCTTGCCATATTGCGACTGCACCCAAATAGTCTCGGCGTTTTGGCGCCTGTTTGCTCTTCTTTCAGCTTTATGAGTTCATCCCAGGCAATGCGCTATTGGTATTCCCCATTAGGGGACACGTCGCGTGATTTTGTGGCACTTGGAAACCTCATTGCGCATAGATGCATTTTGTTAGCGTGGTTGCTTTGTGCCCTTGGGCACACTTTCATTCTTGAGCAACCGTCCTCTGCGCATTTTGGCGATCTGCCTCGCTGGAAGCACTTCGTCCAGCAGATTGCCGTCGTGGCTGGGCTGGTCTGTATAGATGTGCTGTGTTTCATTGTGTCTGCCAAAGCTGCTGCCTTCTGTTTGCGTTGCAGGTTCTTGGCTTGATCTCAGGTATTCCGCCAACCCCTATGGATGAGGCTATTTGGAAATTCCAGCTGCAAAAGAACTGTGATTTGGAGCAATAGTTGCTTGATAAAGGAGCTGAACTTGGGGGCCTTGACGCGTGAGATGCGAGAATCAGCGCGGCCTGTGGCCCATCAGTATGTTGACCGCCGAGGGGTTAAGCGGTGCACAGGGAAAAAACAGGCGCTCAAAGATTCACAGAACCTTGGCAGTTCAAGTTACTTCCCTGTTAAACAGCGGGTGTCGGGGTTGTTACTGAATGAAGTTTATTTTCTGACTAAGCTGCGGCGGTTGTCAGTGTTGATGTCCTTCTGGGCGCAAGTCTCCTGACATGAGGACTTACACATGCGCTTTTGGGTACAAGCTAGCCTCCCTTCTGCCTCGGTTTCATGAAGGTGTGCAACCGCTTCGCGTGCAGCAACAGGAGCTCTTTGAAATGCTTCCAAAAGAGTCCAGCGACCAGGAAGCAAATTCAAGACGTGTCCTGCGAAGGTGTTGTTTTCAAGTAAAAACCCCTTCCCAGGACACTTCGTGAAAAGCCGAAAGCGGAATACACTTGAACCCAACCATTTTGAGAACACACACTGAAATTGACCCTTGCTTGCCGGCTTGCTTGATGCTTAAGCATGGGTATGTTGATGGAGAGGTCGCGCAATCCATGCTCTGCCCTGACAGGACCGGAGCTGTACGCTGGAAGGCATGTTGTCTTTCATGTCGAGTGACGCAGATCTATGGCTTGACGCTGACATGCCAAGTGTTGTTCAATACCTGAGGGGCTCAAAGAGCTTAGCAGTGCCCGACCCAATTCGCCAATGCTTGGGCATGAACAAGTGACGTGGCGCCTCTGCGGCCTGTCAACCCAAGAATGCCCTTGTCAACAAATTTTGGAATTCTCATGTGCCAACAGGCGTGGATCCGTGCAGCCACAGTCTTACAAGTGTGCCTGAGCCCGAAGTCACCTGCGTCCCACTTCGGCCTGGAATCCTAGCGCGTTCAAACTCTTGCTGCTCATTTACAAACTTTTCTGGGGCAAGCGTGCGGCAAGTGTGCTGGGGTGAAAATATCTCCGCGCGATATTGCGTCGAGAAACCAATTCTTCACGCCGAAAAACCAATTCTTCGCGCGATCTTGCGCGATCTAGGAATCTAGTTTTTTTCGTATTCCCAAACTGTTGGAAAACCAAGTTTAGCTGATTTCACAAATCTTGGTATTTGGCAACGTTGGACCACCGCCGAAATTTTAGTTTTTTTGGCGTAGCCGGATTTGGTTTGTCATCCACATGTGCACCCATTGAAAACAACGCACTGACGACCATATTGTCTCTGCGCAGGTGGCCGTGATGCGAACCACGCGAAGTACACGCGAGGCACGCTCTCTCAAGTTGTTCTGCGAAGCGTCTCCTACACTTCATCTTGAAGGCTGCGCTGGCCGTTGATAGCTTTTGATGTGAACTGCCTGCACGCCGTTGGCCCAACAAGGATGAAGTTAGCCTCGTACAGTAGGCTTTGGTCGCGCAGCACGCTCTTGAAGGGGCAAGACTTCATGTCGGGCCAGAAACAGCCGAAGCAGCCGAACCCGCCCCCGAGAGCGACTGGGTTCAACAACAAGTGCTCTAGTTTTTTTGAAGTTGTTTTGCAATCCCGGTGTTTCCCGGACCGTCCTGCAAGGTGAAAGAGGAACTGGAAGACAGCGAGCCTGCAGGTGTGGCAAGCTGGGGACGGGAAACTGCATGCGTGTGCTACCTGAACTGCCAGCCCATCTATAGTATAAGAATGACTTTATAGGGGCATCCGTTTGTGATAGATGGGTTGGCCGTTCATTCGCAAATGCTTTTGCTAAAGGCCTACCCCGAAATGAAGCCATGATTCTATTCAAAGGTGGCCCTAAGTTTGCATAGCACCTGGAACCATGGCTTCAGTTTGGGATAGCTCTTTAGCATTAGGCCTTTTGAAGCGGGCAAAGTTCCTAAAAATGGGAACCTTGTTTTTTTTTGGTGTCGCAATTTCTTCAAATCTACAAAGCTATCCTGCTGACTGTCTGGGGCAAAGCTCCAATTTGAGAGGGCTGCCTTTTGTGGGAAGTTCTTGAGATTGAGTGAGCTCCCCCCTCCCGGAAATATATCACTACGTCTCATATTTTGTTTGAAAGCCAATGCAAGAACCGAAGTTTGGATGAAGGTCGGCGGGAAACTTGCTTGGTTGCAAATGCGCTCCAACTTGCACGACGCAAGCTGCATGTTGTGATAAGTTCCTTTCAGAGGCTACATGCGAGTAACAGCACGTTCTCCCCAAAACAAGGCACATCAGCACTTGAGCCACTTCGCAAAATGTTTTCAAGGTGAGCTGCTCGAGCACCAACTTGACATCTAACTCAACCCTCGCTCAAGTCTTTGCCTTTGAGCACCCCCAGCAACTGCCTCAAGCGCAGGACCAGTCCCGACGCAGGCGCGCACTTTCACCGTGAAGCGCCGCCCGCAACCGGCGTTCCTTCACCGCAAGGAGACACGCGCAACAGTGTCACCAACAAGTGCAGAGTCACCGCCGACAACGACCCCGACGCTCTCGCCAGCAGCAGCGTCGCCAACAAGTGTGGCGCTGTCAGCAGTGGGCCCCACAGTGTCGCCAACAGCAGCCCCTACTGTGTCGCCAACAGTGGTGCCAGCGCCGCCAGCGGAGATGGCCCCCACTGCAACACTGTCACCAACAAGCCCGGCGGCTCCGCAACCAGTGAAGGAAGAAGAGAAAAAGCCAGCCCGCAGGAGGGCCACCCCGTCGAAGAGCCCAAGCGTTGCCTTTCTGGAACAGGAGCTGGCGGCGGCGCGTGAGCGCTTGGAGGAGACAGAGGCGAAGTGCGAGCAAGAGGCAGCGGCGGCGGAGGAAAGACGCCTACGGCTGGAGACGGAGAAGGAGCGCGAGCAGGAGGAGAACCGGCGTCGCAGGCAGCAGGAGCAGGAGGCTGAG